CTCTCAAACCCTCCCCCCACTTACCTGATCTGTAGGCTGAATCTGGCTGCATGTGTTGCTCCCCTGCGGTTTCAATCAGCAGAGAAGCAGGGATAAGATGCAGCTTCCTATCCCTGTCTCTCTCCATACACAGCGCCTATCCCTGTCTCTCTCCATACACAGCGCCAATACCTACTGGCCGGTGCCGGTATTGCAGTTAATTCTAAATCTAACACGAGTCTTACGCAAGACAATAAGAGCTCACTGGACCACTGGTAGCAGGGAATTACATAACCTGGGAACATCAATACTCTGATGTACTGTTAGACATTTCTAGTATGAGACACCCAATAACTTTTTGTCTATTCATTTATTTAGTTTTAGGGACTTTTGGGATTCATAAGAAGCCATTGAAATGTCAATGACTATATAAGGGTTTGGGTTAAATAACAGTTACTTTTTAAAAAAATATATAGCTATGGGGTAACGAATACTGTAAAGAAGCCGAGTACTCCAGCTGAGTACATCTGTTAGTAGTTCCCTCTGGTTGGAGAATATCGCACTATAGTGATTACAGCTCATCCACAAACACTATATGACACATAGTACAAAAACAACTGTTTATTGTCACCAAACACACATATTTATAGGGACAATAACAACAGAAGGTCATTAACATGGACATTAGGTTGCAGTCCCACTGCTGCTGTGTCTGGGAGATAATTCGATTATATACTGCTGACTTTATTAAATCCCCAGACATCAGGGCGCTGTACCCATGAAAAATCATACTTTTTCTTATACACAATTTAGGCATCCCCAGACGGTGCCCGCTCTCCCAAGCAATGTGTCCAAAAAGCGCCCGGATCGGATTAACCTAGCCGGAAAAATCGTTGAGTGAAGTTTCACTGAGCTGAGACAACATTCCGATCAGGCGCAGAGTTCCAGGCTGCTGCGACTAAGTGCCAGGGGCTCCTCCTGGCTCTCGGTGAGCATTTGTAGGTTGTCCTCATCCCTACTTCTCCTCCACAAAGCACTCTGGGTGTTAAAATGAAGGTGCAGGAGCAGACGTTAGTTTCACCGAGCTGATGCCTTGGACCAGGCAGAAGTAGAGTTTTGTGAAATTGGTGCCAGGTCCGCTGGAGATGTTGGGGATACCCCGGTTTCCCAGAGTAGTCCCAATGGGCTCCCATCGCTGTAAGGACGAGGAGAGGACTGGGAGGGGGGCGTGACTAGCCCTTTTGGAGAGTGTATAATTTGGAGTCCTGCGCCAGTTAATACTATAGCCATGAATGCCACCCTAAGATAGTGGGAGCCTGAGTGCAAGGCTGATTTCTATGCTTAGAATGATTTTTTGTGTAGTTTTGCTGTTCTTTCCGGGCTGTGTGGAACAGTAGCTATTTATGGGTCTGTATACATTATTTTTCTCGTTAGAAAATAAACACAGGAAATGTATTCAGAAAACATAGTTAAAATTAGCTTAATGTATCCATAGACTCATCAGCTTATATGTTACAAAAACATGATGTTGCAATACCTACTAGTGCAGCATGCTCTATGATACAGAGAGCAAAATAGAATGTAGGAGATCATTCCTTCTAGGCATTGTATTTTAACATATCTATATCTCTTCTTTACAGATAACCCTGTTCTGTCCAAGGCAACAGATTGTTCTGCGAATGATTCCATGGGTAATACTTGCCAGCATTTATATAGCGGAGATAGGAAGATGACAGATCAATGAGATGGGGTGGCAATGACGCTATTTATGTCACTGGTGTCACACATGGCAGTAATGGGAATGTGTTATCTCAGGGCACGTGTGCCTCATTTTATTAGCTTGCTTGGCAAGGGAGACAACCAAGGTTGCCCACATGTAGAGCCTCTAGAGCCCTCCCATTTGGGCAGATATTTCTCAGACTCGCTGCACCCATTCTATACTTTATCACACCTCCCAAGTGTCCCTATTTAGGAGGGACAGTCCCTGTGTTGGTGCCTACATGCCTCTGTCCCTCTTTTCTATCCTAATTTCCCTCTTTTCTAGGAGCGCCATATTGTTGGTGTGTCTGGTATATAATAGCCCAGATTCCCATATTATGAGCATTCTCCTGTGTTGCAAAAGGCGTCACTGCTATGACATCATGCTTGCCCCACCCCCAGCCTGAGGCCAATATTGATAAGTTTGCTGGATCTCGCTGAAGAATCTCTGATGAAGTTCTGTAGGTTACTGGTAAAACCTATAGTTTTACCTGTTAAAAATATTGGTGTCACTTTATAGAGAATCCATATAACTAAATGCATTATATTTGTTTGTGAATTTATAGGCAACATAAAAACCTAGATTCTTTTATATGGCTACTTAAAGGACCACTCTAGGCACCCAGACCACTTCAGCTTAATGAAGTGGTCTGGGTGCCTGGTCCAGCTAGGGTTAACCCATTTTTTCATAAACATAGCAGTTTCAGAGAAACTGCTATGTTTATGAATGGGTTAAGCCTTCACCTATTTCCTCTAGCGGCTGTCTCATTGACAGCCGCTAGAGGCGCTTGCATGCTTCTCACTGTGATTTTTCACAGTGAGAGCACGCCAGCGTCCATAGGAAAGCATTATGAATGCTTTCCTATGTGACCGGCTGAATGCGCGCGCAGCTCTTGCCGCGCGTGCGCATTCAGCCCAGGAGGAGGAGAGGAGGCAGAGAGCTCCCCGCCCAGCGCTGGAAAAAGGTAAGTTTTTAACCCTTTCCCCTTTCCAGAGCCGGGCGGGAGGGGGTCCCTGAGGGTGGGGGCACCCTCAGGGCACTATAGTGCCAGGAAAACGAGTATGTTTTCCTGGCACTATAGTGGTCCTTTAAATAAGGAGAGAACAGGGTAGGATTAACTATAGGGTGTCCTTAAAGCGCTGCCCGGTGCCCAGGAGTTAGACGGGGACCCTTGGACCCTGAATTTGTTTGGACTTATTCACCATCCCTATGTGAAGAATGACAGATGGCACCAAACGAATAAACTGCATAGGGCCCTGTAGTATTTTAATTCTTCTTCAGCAGACAGTGATTCACTGAATTATGTATTTTACTGTCACTTTATATTAGTGATAAAGAAAGTTGGTAAGTGTTGGGATGTAGTAGTTGTTACCATTAATTAATTATTGAGTGGATGATGATCATTATGTCAGAAGGTAACCATTTTCATGTGATATAGAATGTTAGATATGAGTTTCTGAAGGCGTGAAATTCTAATGAATCAGAGTGGGGAGATAATTTATTTTTATGGGGGGTGGGGGGGTCGGCTTTGATGGGACAGTGAGCAGGACTATGTGAGTTATGAAAGAGAGGTGCATGGGATGGCTTGATATTGGGAAACAAAATAATTTGAAACTTCATATAGACTGATTTCCAGTAGTGTAATGTGAGAATGCGTATAGTTTATTTTTATATATTTTTTTTTACAGGGCTTTTGCCAGCCCCAAACCTCACACTGCTCACGGAAGGTGCTATCTTCAAGGGACGGTCTGTCAGCCTGCAGTGCGCAGCGCCCAGTATCTACCAAGAAAGTACATTCCACCTGCAGATACGGGACGACGGAAAACTTGTTGAAACAAAAGAAGCTCCCAAGTCCATGCACAGTGTGACCTTCACCATTGCTGAGTTCACTGTCCCAGGAAACTACGTCTGCAGATATCAACAGTTGGTATCAACGACATGTGGGATATCCAAGAGTAGCAATATACTCCACCTTACACTATCAGGTGACGTGTTTCTTTAAAGAGACATAAACGTGGAAACATCTTAAAGGGAACTTTCCAAATCTAGCTCTAAAGGGGAACATGACCATTGTATTGCACCACTACTTTACAGCCGTGTCTACATCCTATTGTTATTGCGTTTTGCATGCTTTTACCATCTTAGCACGTGTATCATGGTCTTTACATGCCATCATACGCTTTACATGCCATCACTATGTCCACAAAAGATAAGTGCCTTTAAAGTGCCTTTAAAAAAAACCCATTTGAAATCTGTGCTTTGAGCACTCTAAGAGGTTTTTGCTTACAATGTCCATGAGTTTTACATGATAAATGCGTGGATTCTGCACCATCTAGATGGCAGCACTGCGAGGGTGAGTACAACTTAACTCCACTACAACCTGCGACCAACAAACCTCCCACTTTTGGTTATCTAAGTGAAATATGCAAAGGGAATTAAAGATATGCTTTAAAGGGACACTATAGTCACTATGAGAACTACAGCCTAATGTAGTTGTTCGGGTAAGTCTAGTATGTCCCTTTAGACATTTGCAGTAAACACGGTCTTTTCAGAGAAAATGCAGTGTTTACAGATGGCTGTTATAGGTACTTCTTGGAGCAGTGCCTAACAGTGTGACTGATTGATTCAACGTATCTCTATGAGGAGATGTTGATTGGCCATGGTTGTGTTTGGCTTGTGGTGGCTCTGCCCTTGATCTGCCTCCTTGACAGTCTAAGCCAATCCTATGGGAAAGCATGAGATAATCACTTATGATGATGTCAGCCAAGCAGGCAGATCAGGGGCAGAGCCAGCACCAGCATCCTTAAACAAAAAGTAAGATTTTACTATATTTAGGAGGGCAAGGGGAGGTCAGGGGGGCTAGATGGTGGTTTTAACACTATAGGGTCAGGAATACATGTTTGTGTTCCTGACCCTATAGTGTTCCTTTTAATGTCATTGATGGAGTGGGGGAAAAATAGAGAAGTACCGGTATGTCAGAGTTCACCGCTGCATTTTACTTTCAACACAGAAAAATCGACTGGCTGTAAACAGTGCGGTTTCTTTCTTTGAATGAGATGAAGTCATCTGGGTGCCTATAGTGTCCCTTTAAAGGGACACTGTAGAGACTGTGCTCATTGAAGTGGCCTGGGTGCAGCCACTAGATGGCTTCCTGAATCGAAACTAACCTTTGGTCCTGTATCTGACGCTGTGCATTAGATTTTTCCCCCATCGGAAAAGGTCTAATGCTCATTAGCACCCGCTCGTTGCAGACCGTCGGAGTCCAAGGGAAATCAGCGCTGGGAAAAGGTACGTTTTAGGAGGGGCGGAACCAAGCAGCCTAGACGTGCCCAGCATGAGCTCCCACGTCTGGGGACAAAGAACGGGGTACAGTATCTGAATACTGACACCCACAGACCGCAGACCACAGTACCCGTAACCAGGGAAGGCTACCGCATCGAATGGTGCCTCTTACAAGCCCATGCACAGCCGACCTGACACAATGAGGCTTGCGGCCTACATGAGACTGAGACACGGGGAGACGGCCACTCTTCGGGAACATCAGCAGTAACAGGGGCCGCGGCAAAGCACTCCCCCCCCCATGGATAGGCAGGGGTTATCCCGGTCAATATTTAACAGCCCTACTCATCCGATTCTCACCACTGGTCAGCCAACACTGCGCACACAGTCGAGCCACAGAGACCAAGATGGCGGCAGCTGACCACGAGGCGGTGACAGGCGAGCAGCACAGAACGCTTGGACGACTTGTTCAAAAGATTCTGGCGAAAGCCCCATGCAACGCAGACCGAAACCTGCAGGTACAGCAGGGTTACTCACCTCCCGGGGGCCAACAACATCAAAAAGGGAGCCCCCCGGGTTAAAGCAATCAACAAGCGCTAACCACGTGGCAGGGCCCGCCACCGCTACCACGCGTGCTCTGCCAGAGAGACCACAAGGCCCCTTGAAGGCAGACAAACCTGGCCGGCTAAGGAGACCACCATACTCCCTGAGGGGGCGGAAAGCTCAATATGGAATGGCCCAGTACTAGCGATGCATATATGCCCAAGGAGGGGGGAAAATAAGGTGCCCAAGAGGTGAAAAGCGTCAAGGCCACCCCCAACCTAACCTAAACCACTTACACACTACAGGGACAGTTCCACAAATGCTCTCTACTTACGTGTAATCACCCGCACGGATCATCCGCATGCTGCATCCCTGGGACGCCTGGAAGCAGTTCCTATCGGCACCATTGATGGCTCTGCTAGAATCGGCCTCGTGCAGGGGCATTGGCTAAAAAGACTCACCTAGAATATCCATACATTCCCAAGCAGGAGAATGGGCTGATGCTGGACTCTCGGGCCGGGGCCACTTTTACCCCACCATTACAATGCCTACTACCATAACTCAATGTATTAATGCTTTTGTATTCTTAACCTTTTATGTTCTCAATCTTAACCAACGACTCAGCTTAGCAAGTTTACTAACCACTCGTGTACCTACCGCAGGCAAATGTTAGCATTGCTAATACTTTAACTTTACTTTAGACCACATATTAAGCTTTCTAAGTATTCCTGTTACCATGTACAATAGAAAGCGGATGCCTATACGCCAGGCATGTTACTATGTGTAAATAGTGCAGTGTCTCCACTCTGATGTCTCCTTAACTGAACTACACGCGCTAAAACTCGGAAGCATGCATTATTGTTCTGATTTTCTACCCAATAGTCTCTACCCAGACAGGAAGATAAGCATGTTTCCTATGTAACAGTTTTCAAATCTAGGAAATTGATTAGACAAACCTTAATGTATAGCTGTAAAGTAGGTTATAGCTCTGTCTCTGCATAGAATCTTTGCAACTACTGTTAGCCTAGATGTGTTGAAGTAACTTGTTATCGCTCATACTTTGAACAAATAATGCTGCAGATTAAGGATTCCAAGCAGCAGTATATTTTGTGCACATCTGTGAATGTTTCTGTCTGTGTTTGCTCAGATACACTGTTGTGGCAATGTCAGCGATTATTGTATTTATACGCACTACAAAAATAAAGAATTAAAAAAAAAAAGTTTTAAACCCTGGGGGGTGAGGACAAGGGAGGGTGGAGGCAGTGGGAGTGATAGTAGCAGGAATACAGCTTTGTATTCCTGGCACTATAGTATCCCTTTAAGAGCTTCCAACTCTCTGTCATTTGTAGTGAAGGCAGGGAGCTGCATCTGGTGGGCCCCAAGTAAAATAAAAAAAATCATAACAACAATAGCGAGGCAGTGCTTGGACTGTTCCTTCAACAAATAACAGAAATGGAATTTTCAATCCCAGATTTCCAGGTGACTCAGGTTTAACAATGAAATAGTGCTAATATCAGACAAACTAGGGAGTCCAGAAACAACGCTGATTATATACCTTTTCGTTTGGCGTATTTTTCTGTTATTTCTGTGCTACAGGAAGATCTGCGTTCCTTGTCTATGAGATGTGACATATTGCTTGTTGAAAATGTACACATTGTATCTGGCCATTTCTATGTAAATCCATAAATATCTAGAAAGAAATAAACTCAAAAAAACATATTTAAATAGCTTTGCAAAAACATCACGCACAATATCTGCTAATGCTGCATACTCTGTAGTAACTAAAGTAAAATCATTTGATACATTTTCATTATTATATATCATTGTATAGTAACACTTAGGTTTGTGATTTCTTTTGTTTTTTCCAGCTGTCCCTGATTTCACCACGTCGCCTCCTGGTCCTACGAAAGCTGGTGGTAAAATAAAAAGTTTTATAAAATATCCAGATGAGTTTTACCCTAGATAATTGACAAATCACCAGATTGTTGATGTAAAATGGTTCCAGTGATTCTGCGAGATCTTGACAGTAGTCCCTGCTGCCTATAATCACTTGCTGTTATCACTGTTGCAGTGGTTATGGTGTTTGTGCGATATGTGTGGAGTCTCATATTTTTGTCTCCTTAAAGTGGTTTGGCAAAAAAAAAAAAGTAAAAATACATATGGAGAATGTTCCATTACACAAAGACCACGCTGCTTACAGGGGAACCTCCAGGCACCATAACAACTTAATTGAAGAAACAGATTGGGTTAGAGCGTCAGCTGACCACTGTGAACCAATCCACAGCTCCCTGCCGATGGCAGTCCAAGGCTTGTGTTTTGAAGATTTTTCAGAAAGCAGACATTGGAGGGGGAAAAGCAAATAGCACTGGCAAGGAGACTTTGGGGTTGTAACCGTTTGGGGGTTTTGGGGTGAATCATTAAACCCTTAAAGGTAAGCCAGCACCAGGGACCTACTGGCACCATAACAACCTCATGCTGATTCAGTTGTTATAGTGTCCAGAGTGTTCCTTTAACTTGTCTGTCTTCATGAGGAAATTCCATGAAAAAAATCAAGGTGCTTTTATGGAGTGAATGCAGGTATTTCAGTAAAATCAAAATGTTGCTTTAATGGAATATTCTGATTTTTGCCATAATAATCTCCAACAAAAATTTCCCTTGTAGAAAATTCAAATTCCTGCTAGAACGATCACTGACATTCCATTTTTACCTTTTATTTTCCCATCTTGCTCAATTACCCTGCATCGCCTTTTCTACTCTTCTACCGAACACTAATTGCGCAAAACATGGAATTCAATGCATTGCTTGACATCTGCTCAGTTCAATGTTCACACATCTTTGCTGATTTTTGTTGTCTTTTACCCTGCATAGTTCCATTCGGGATCATTGTGTTGGTCGGTGCAATAACAGGCCTCGTGGTTGTAGTAATTTCAGTGACGATAACTGTTTACATCAAGAGAATATGTAAGTATTAGCCTAAGACAGTGGTGTACATATAGGGTCACAGCTGCGACTGGGCCCGTCACTCCAGGGGGGCCCGGCCGCCCTGCGACCCCGATACCAGCCTCCATGCTTTGCGGCCCTGGCCCGAGCGGCAAACTGCCGGGGGCCGCACATTCAAGGGGCCCATCAAGTTGCCCATGCTGTTAGGGTCACCCGATGGGTATGGATTTCCAGGGGGCCCGGTCAGCACTGCGGCGCTTTAACAGCGCGATCAGTTTCGCACCGGGGCCCCATGGGTTGTGTGTACACCACTGGCCTAAGAAATTAAAATCTGCTTTCCAATATCCAAATAATTCTGTACATGATCAAACTTGGTAACGCTATCAGCAATCTCCTCTGGACCATTTGGGTCTTGGCGGCTCATAGATGCCCATAATCTTGGGTTGCCAGATCCACTATATATAGATTATTCATTGTAATGTACAGACATGTAGTAAGTAAAACACACACACTGAAGGACAGAAATCAACTTGCTATGTGTCCTGGAAAATATTGTGGACCTACTAGCACCCTGTTAAAGACTAGTGATTTATTATACACACCATAATATTATTATAAACTCTTCAATTTATTTTCCCTTTCCCAGTGTTCTATTAATATTGCCCTGTATGAATTAAAGTGTAAGTTCCGCAGGCAAAATGAAGTGGTTCTATCACCCCGACCCCTGAATTGTCTGCGTAACTGGGCAGATAAAAATTTACATTCTAAAGGAAAATGTTGTCTTCTCCAGACCTCTTAGTTTATTCATTTTCTCTCTTTTTCTAGATGACAAGAAAAAGAAGCGCAAACAAAGGTAGGCTATTGCACGGTTATTATACTATCTGACTGTTATTAAAAGGATTTGCCAAGCCAACATGGATCCCCAATTTAATGCATTATGGAGATAATGTGAATTCAGGTCTCCTGGGTTGCAGGCTAGAATGGACGTCCCCAATGTGTGAGTGAATGGAAAAAACTCGGGAAATGTTAGGGGCAAGTGGGAGAAAGGTTAGCTAGCCTTCAACAGAGAGAAAGAAGACATTCTGCTATGGAAGTAAAAGCTCCAAAAGGCTAAAAGGTTCCTTCCAAGACTTTTCCGAGTGGTGAATTTGTGATGTGGAGGGGACCCTTATAACCGAAAAGAACCCCAGACTCTAGAGAGAGAGAGTGCAGGTATTATGAAAAGTACATGAGTGATTGTAATGGTAGAAAACCTTTTGGCAAGCGATATAACTGCAGTAACTCTTCGTAAAGAGGTAGCCTGCAGCATAGAGATAGAGAGAGGAGGAGATCTTTCCATTGAAGATTCCTGTGACCCATCAAAAGATGTATCATATGCACAGGGCCGGAGCAACCGTAGGGAGCGATAAGGAGCAATATCCGTGTAACTGGCCGGAGTGGCTCACAGCACTCCCCCTCCTGCCATTCACTTCATGTAGAGTGTCAGAGCAGACCGCAGTAGAGGATCCATTGTATCCTCTACTAGACTTGGGCATTTGTTTTTGGACAGACAAGTTGTTTCCTGAATTTTTGAATTTTTCAAATAATGTGAATGGAATGGAGGAAGAAGTTTAGGGGGAAGAAAGAGACACACACAAAGAGGCTTGGAGGAGTAATAGACATACAAAGGGTCTGGGAGTGGGAGGGAATAAGAGACACACAAGGGGGTGTAAAACACACACAAGGGGAAAACATGGGATAAGATACACTAAAGGGGGATGTAAGCCACAAAATGGGGGTAATATTTTCTAAAGGGGGTGTTAGACACAAAAGGTGGATAAAGGGGGGTAAAAGTAATTGTCATGGTGTGCTAATTGTGTGCATCTAAAGCGGATTGCTATGGTGTGCCAATTGTATGCTTCTAAAGCTGCTTGCCATGGTCCCACTTTTTAAAATATGCATTAAAAGCAAGTGGATCTCGAAAAATTACCGTTTTGAAAAGTGGGTCTCGGCCCATAAAAGTTCGGGAAGCCCTGTAATAGAATATAGGTTATGTTAGCCATAGAAAATAAATGGGACATAAAAATGGAAATAAAAGTGAAAAAATAAAGTGGAATAAAAAAAAGTTATAAAAAAATAATTATGCGACATTTGCTATTTTTGTTTTGCAGAGAAAGAGAAAGTGTTTGGACTCCACGAGATATGGCTTCTGGTTTGTATAAAATCACTGCCTTTCTTACCTCACTAACCTGACTATAGCCTGTTTTTCAAGATTATTCTTGTCCATCAAGCTCAGCCTTTCTCACATTTGTTTTTGCTACTGAGCCAAAAGAAGGCAAAAAGCCCAGTCTAAAGCGCTTCCAATTTTTCAACAAACTAGCAATTCCTTCTTGACCCCAGAATGGCAGTCAGATATCTCCTTGGATTAAGAAGTTATTACAATTTGTACATTGCTATCATGTTCCCAGTGCGGTGCGATTTTTTTATAAACTAAAGAGATTTAAATTCATTAACCACGGAAAATTTATATTGAAAGGAGGGTTTGCAGAGAGCTCATCTCTGTATTCGGCATTCAGAGGCTTGCAGTATCACGGTTCTCTGTTCCACTGCATTGTGAGTTCTCTGACTGTAGTTTTTTGTAAGTAAAATTAATTGGCAAATTTATACATTTACACAAATGTATACATGATTGCAGGTCTGGTTTCGTAGCTTGGCAGTAGTAGTAACAATTTTGTTTAGGAAAGAAAAAAACTGTAAAACTTTAAATAAATTTTCCAAATAATGAAGTTACAGATAAGAAAACAGTGTCATAGGCATTCCTCTACATATTCTATAATCCTCTCACATACATTATCCTAAATATTCTTTATAGGTATTGTATATGTTTGTATATTGTATATGCTGCCACTTTAACTTTGTATTACCATATCACCCTCACATTGCAGGCATAGACTGCAGGGACTGGCTACGGACACCAGAACCACTTCATTAAGCTGCAGTGGTTCTGGTGACTATAGTGTCCCTTTAATGTGAGGTAAATTAGAGATTAGTGTCACTAATAATATACTGGATTGCCTACTTACCACCAGATGAGGACAAGAGGATGATGATGGGCTCCACTGATCTGGTGTTAAAACAGGCTCTCTGGGGGCAGTGCTCACAAAAATCAACAAACAGGAAGCAGCTCCATTTTTTGAGGCACCTTACACAGATCACGGTCTGGGCCCACAGGGCCTGACAGTGAATATGCCTACAAGGCCCGCCTATAAGACCCACTCATGAGTTCGCTCACAGGGAGTGGAGTGTATGTGTGTAGGGGGTGTGTTATGTGTTATTTTAGAGGATGTAATGTGTGTGTGTTCTTATGGAATGTAGTGTATAGGGATACCAGTTTGTGTAAGGGATGTAGTGTGTGTGTGTGTGTGTATAAGGGATGCAAGGTGTGTTTCTGTGTATGTAATGTAATGCAGTGTATGTGTCTGTAAGGGGTGCATTGAGTGTGTGTAAGAGATGCATTTTGTTTCTGTGTGTGTGTAAAAGAAGCAGTGTGTGTGCACGTAAGAGATGCATTGTGTGTTTTTGTATGTAAGGGATGCATTGTGTGTGTGTGTGTGTGTGTGTGTGTAATGGATGCATTGTGTGTTTCTGTGGGAGTGTAGGATGCATTGTATGTTTCGATGTGTCTGTGTGTGAGTAGGGATGCATTGTATGTTTCTGTGCATGTGTGTGTGTGTGTGTGCAGGGAATGGGATGCATTGTGTGTTTCTGTGTATGTGTAAGGATGCATTGTGTATGTGTGTAGTGTGAAAGAGAGGGTTTGTGGGGTAGGATAGGGGCTGAGAGGATAGCAGCTCTTTATTTTTATTATTATATTTATTTTGTTAAAATACTTTTTGTTGTATATTGTTTTAAGTTTTGTGTCTTACACCCCCTTTAGTTTATCTCTTACAAGCCCCTTTGTGTGTCTCTTACCCCTTCTCTTTGTATGTCTTACTCCCCAAGCCCCTTTGTGTCTTACTCTTCCCAGCTCCATTGTGTGTCTCTTTTTCCCCCTGGCTCCTCTGTGTGTCTCCCTCACAAGTGACTCTGTGCTTCTCTCTCCTGAGCCCCTCTGCGTGTCTGTCTCCCCTACCATCCCCTCTGTGCTTCACTTTCTCCCCTTCCTCAGCCTCTCTGTTTGTCTTACACTCTCCCTCCCCCGTCCCTTAATGATCTCTTTCACTTGCCCTGTCCCTTAGTGGTCTCCTCTCCTCCCCCTGTCCCTTAGTGCTCTCCCCTCCTGTCCATTAGGAATCTTCCCTGTCCCCTTAGTGCTCTCTCCTCCCCTCCCTTAGTGTTCCTCTCCCCTCCCTATACTTTAGTGGTCTCCCCCTCCCCTTAGTGGTCCTCTCTCTCGCCCTCCCCCTTAGTGGTCCTCCCTCTCCCCCCCTCCCCTTTAGTGGCATTGTTCTCTCACCCCCCTCCCCTTTAGTGGTCCTGTTTCTCTCACCCCCACTCCCCTTTAAAGGTCCTGTTCAGGGCTGCCACCAGATATTTTGGGGCCCCTGACAAAGCACAAAGTCTGGGCCACCCCCCAGGCCCGCCCACGAGTCTTCCCACAGGACTCCTACCTAGTCTGCTGTCAGTGATGCACGACTGAATGTGGTGTGTATGTTGGAAGTGAATTAGAATGTGTGTAATGGATGTAATGTTTGTGTGTATTAGATACTGTTTGTGCAGTGAATGCAGAGTGTGTGTTTGTGTAGCGGATGCAGTGTGTATAGTGAACGCAGAGTGTGTTTGAGTAGTGGATGTAGTGTGTGTACAGTGATACTCACACTCTGCATAAAGCACTTCCCTCTCTCTAACTCCCGCAAGCGTGCTGTGCGTGCCGCGCGGAGCGTTGCCATGGTAACCCGTGGCATCGCTCTGACGGCCGCGTGTCTCGCGGGAGTTAGAGAGAGGGAAGAGCTTTATCATACAGATGCAGACTGCTGGGCCCCCTCTGCAAATACAGGGAGCCGGAGGGGGGGGGGGGCCTGCGGCTGCACATATATATATATAGCGATCATATCTATATGTATGTGCAGAGTGGGAATGTTGGGCTGATGACGGCCCTGGTCCTGTCTCTCTCATCCCTTCTCCCCTTTAGTGGTCCTGTCTCTCTCACCCCCCTCCCCTTTAGTGGTCGTGTCTCTCTCATCCCTCCCCTCCCTTTAGTGGTCCTGTCTCTCTCACCCCCCTCCCCTTTAGTGGTCCTGTCTCTCACCCCCTCCTTTGGTGATCCTGTCTCTCTCACCCCCCTCCCTTTGGTGGTCCTGTCTCTCTCACCCCCCTCCTTTGGTGGTCCTGTCTCTCTCACCCCCCCTCCTTTGGTGATCCTCTGTCTCTCTCATCCCTCCTCCTCTTTGGTGGTCCTGTCTCTCTCACCCCCCTCCTTTGGTGATCCTGTCTCCCTCCCTTTGGTGGTCCTGTCTCTCTCACCCCCCCCCTTTGGGGTCCTGTCTCTCTCACCCCCTCCTGTCTCTCTCACCCCCTCCTTTGGTGGTCCTGTCTGTCTCACCCCTCCTTTAGTGGTCCTGTGCTCTCACCCCTCCTTTGTGTGGTACTGTCTCTCTCCTCCTTTGGTGGTCCTGTCTCTCTCACCCCTCCCCTTTGGTGGTCCTGTCTCTCTCACCCCCCTCCTTTAGTGGTCCTGTCTCTCTCACCCTCCTCCCCTATAGTGATCCTGTCTCTCCCCCCTCCCTTTAGTGGTCCTGTCTCTCTCACCCCCCTCCCCTTTAGTGGTCCTGTCTCTCTCATCCCTCCTCTCCTTTTGTTTCCTGTATCTGGCTGTACTGACAGGAAGTGCACTCACTTCCTGTCAGTCCGGCCGGGTATAGGAAACAGATGCTCCTGTACCGCGGTCCACGTCCGGCCACGCTACACTGAGTGACACACTATGAAAGAGGGCGCTGTGCGCTTCACTCCTGCCGGGTCATTCAAATCTTGGTGTCCCCCGAGCCGGTGCATCCTAGGCAATTGCCTAAGTCGCCTATAGGACGCGCTGGTCCTGCATGTGGGTGAATGTGTGTCTCTGTGAACATGTGTATATCTGTGTGGGGGAGCTGCTTGTATGGATGTATGGAGGCTGAGTGTGTGTGGAGTGGGTGACAGTATATGGGGAGGCGTTGTTTCTGTAGCCAGCCACCCCACACTGTAATATTTTATTCTATGCATTTACCACCCTTCTGGAACTGGCTATACGGCCTGCAGCTCCGTTGGGTGCAGAGTTGTAGACCATGAGGTAGTTGTCTAACAAGCTCCGGCACTTGAAGTGTCTGAGCTTTGCCGTAATAACCCACGGCAACATTCAGATTGACAGGAGCTCGCGAGAGAACTACTTCATGCTCTGCAACCGGCAGAGCTGCAGACTAGAGACTGCTGGGTTCTCCCCCGGGGCCTTACTGACCTAATTAGAGAGTGGACTTTGCATTTAAACAAATATTTTCATTGTCATTACAGATTGGACCTACGATAATACATTATATTCTATGGTAAGTACTCTATTATGATACAGTGTACTACATAGATAAATCTAATAATTTACTATTTCCACATGTTGGGATTGATTACAATGTATCGCTAGATAATTTGCGACACAATAGTGGCTGCGGAGTGGACCGCACGAGCTCCTGCCCTACGGGCTACTGTTTTCATCTTATTCCAATAAACAGTGTGCTTGCAAAGTTTGAAACAGCGAAATGTTTACTGAGTCTAGGCGCCCAAGTCAAGTTAAAATTTCTGCAATAGATTTTTTTCATCTTATTCCAATAAACAGTGTGCTTGCAAAGTTTGAAACAGCGAAATGTGTACTGAGACTAGGCGACCGTTCTTGAGAGATCAGGAAGCTTGTCTGAAAATGTGACCATGTGGCTTGTGGTGTCGGTGAAACTATAAAACATCAAGCGTTGGTGGTATAGTGGTGAGCATAGCTGCCTTCCAAGCAGTTGACCCGGGTTCGATTCCCGGCCAACGCAAGAGAACATGATTTTACAACACCGTAGTCAGCAAATTTTACGTTCCTATTTAACGTTCTCAATGACTGTTACTGCTCTTGTTGCTGAATCAACAACATTTTGTTTTTGAATTTTTTTCTTCTACAATAACGGTCATTTTAAGCACGGCTCTCGAAAATCTGAACTGTATCAATTTGGAAGAATCCAATTTTTGGGAAGTGCCCAAGTCAAGTTATAATTTCTGCAATAGATTTTTTTCATCTTATTCCAATAAACAGTGTGCTTGCAAAGTTTGAAACATCGAAAAATAACGGGCTAAAACAACCTCAAAAATAACGACTGAAAAGCCCATAGACAACCAAAGGTGCACCACCCACGCTGGGGGTGCACTACATCAGCGACAGACACACTACCGACGCCGGGGGCACCGAGCACCTACCGCGGCCTACAGTATCTCCTCATAGAGATGAATAGAGATGTATTGAATCAATGAATCTCTATGAGGAAAGTTCAGTGTCTGCATGCAGAGGGAGGAGATACTGAATGTTTGGAATGGATGCATTTTAGGCAGCCATGACCCAGGAAGGATCTCTAACAGCTATCTGTTAACAGAAGAAAAAGATTTACCATTTGAATTGAACAGACATGTAGGAGCTGGAGCCGGGGCGAGACCCCCCGAGCTCTGAACTCCGGAACAGCCTGACAAACCACCTACCCCACCCCCCCGGGGTCATCCTAGTCTTCCCCAGCCACACTACACACACCCGAAGACAGATCGGCGGACCGCGCAGATGGCAGGGGTGCAACACAGCCAAAGCAAAACCAAGATGACGGCCCAGCACAGGCCCCAGCCCAAAGGTACAGGCACCCAGCCACTACCCCAGCACATGGCGGCACTAGATCAGCTCTGTAAAAGCCTGTGGACACTACTCCGCAACAGAGGAGCTACACACTTTCAAGCAGTGAGAGCAGTGGCCGCGTGGCTTTGCCCGGCCACCAGAAGCCGCCATTACAATGCCAGGCTGAGGGCCCCTAGAACAACTGCCCAGCGGGGCTACTGGAAACGACCGGCAAAACAGGAGACGACATCTGGGCGCACGGGCACAAATGCCCGTCCTGACACACGCAGAAACCAAAGCGCAACACAAGCCACACAAGCAAGTACCTCGCCGAGCCCAAAACTCGGAGTCCAGCACAGCACTCAGCTGCCCTCTGCGGTTGCAACCGCTTACCGGACTGTGGTGTGTGAGCCTACACTACCACCCGTTGGAGGGATTGCGCCGCAACATAGAGGAGCCACTGAAAATGCGGGTCACCTTCCCGGGAATGCAATCAAAACATCCAGAATAGGCATCGGTTAATACAACCTGGACTGACACGCCGTGGGGCCTACAGCCCGCGGCGCTGCCTACAGAGCAGAGATTTTCTCTCCCCAAGGACAGAGGCAAGAGCACCCCAGTTTACAATGTATGCTCTTATCTACACAAACATTGTGGTACATACAGCATGACACTTTAAGCTTAAACTCCTAACCGATGGACTTACTCACTCTTGGAACACGCATTGCATAGTTGTGTTATCACCAGGTTAGGATGATTACCTGCTTAGTTTTCATAGCTTTGTCTTAGCCGGAGCCTAGTTTGATAGCATGCATACTACTGTTACCCTGTGCTGTAATCCCTGCAACAACCTCACAATTTGACTACATAATGCGTGCCTAAGCTACTGCATAGTCTACTATTTCTCATATACCTAGATAGACATCGCTACTAGTTTAGCTTGTTTATAACATAACATATAAAATGTGCTGATATTCACATGCCATGAATGTACAACTACTGTTTTTAAATCTTTTAATTATGCCATTGTGGCATTGACAAACGTCTTGTTATTCCATGCACAAAGAAAAATAAAGAATTTAAAAAAAAAAAAAAAAATAATGGCTGCCGATAACCTAATAATAAGGTGGAAGCAATTACACAATTTAAAGTGTGTGATTATGAGCAGAACAAACAAACTCACAGACATCTTCTCTGAATGCATGACGGAGTTCCTGTACTCCAACTGAGTACCTCCGCCAGGTTAGCGTTCTCGCTACTACCAACGTACTCTGGGGCACTTCAGACCCATTTGCATGCGCACTAACCTCCCAATGTTTCCCTATTACGAAGCATTTGATTGGCTGAGATCATCTGCACCGGGGTTGCCTAAAAGGTAGATCCCCAGATGTTCTACAACTACAACTCCCTTGTTGCTTTGCATGCCTTTAAAATGCATTTAGAATGACAACGCTTCATAGAAGCTGTAGTTTTAAAACATTTATGGATGTAACTAATGGGCACCCCTGAGACCAATGTGGCTAGGTCTGAAAGCTAAGTAGATCTTACCTTTATAACCCTCACACAGCACTGGGAGATTAAAAAAAAAATTAAAATAGATAGATTAAAACTACTATAGCATTAGGAATACATGTTTGTATTCCAAGTACTACGGTGTTCCTTGAAAATACTGTTTTTTAATCGATAACAGCAGAGTAGTCACTCACTAATAGTGTAGATAGGTCCGGAGAAAACAAGGACGCAGACATAACAGGAAAAACATTTTGCCTACAACAGACATACTATGGAAATATGTGCAAATATGAAAATCATTTAAGTATTCAGGAATTTGCAACCGATTTTCCCACTACGATGCTAATAGAGACAGTGATACGGCCAGATGAACATTCTGATACATGCACGGAAATGTGGTCTTTCATTCAGATTCACATTCACAATACATCCATGAGCAGTTAATTTTTTCAATTTAATTTAAAATATCAACATTATTTAATAAGTATAACTATATTCCACGTGAAAAAAAAAAATATTTTTCTTGTATTTCAAACCTACGAAAGTCAACTCCGTAAAGACTGTATACTGCATGATCAATCAATACACAGAAAATTAAAGGGCAGCCAAATCTCCTTTTTAGATTACACCCCTGAATAAAAGACAGAAACTCACCTATAACCTGTCCTCATCTTTTATTTTTTTTTACATAATGCTACATTTTCTTTACATTTTTTACTAAAGATTTTAAAATTGACATCACGATCCAGTTAAGCCCGTGCACAACCACGACAATTATGGTTTGAAAAGAAATGAAAGAGAAGCATAATACTCTATCTCTCCTGACTGACAGGTGGAAACAGGAGAGCTTAGCATGATTGACAGCGTCCAAAATGGAGATACTCAACACCAAGATAGACGTAAATAGAACAGTGTGGATTTCCTCATTTAATTTTATTTTTCCAACCTCATATTTGTTACATATAGGGAATATGTTAACCTTATTTTAAAGAGACACTCCAGACACCTAACGTACTTTAGCTTGGTGAAGAGCTTTATGTGTGAAGAGTGTGTCCTCTTTTTTTTCATTTTGCAAAAAGGGCAGATTTCAATAGAAATTGACACTTTTAGAAATTAACCTGGTTACACCCTCCTTGCTGTCAATCACACAACTGGTCTTGTTATTTCCTGGTCGTCTCAAAATGTAACAATTGCCCAGAGCACTTGTCTTGCAAAGACTTCTCATTGACCTGTATTGGGAAGTATGTGATTGGATAACAACTGAAAGTCTGGGAGTGGTTAGAATGGGAAGGTTTGCAAAGGCAGGAGACAAGAAAACTGCAGGTTTTGCAAGCTGATTTTAGATATATCCCCAATCAAAAACGACATAATTAAATGCATGGACATTTTCATATGGGGTACATATATTAAACAGTGGCTTTGATTTATTTTGTGTTTGGGCAGTGGAGTGTCCCTTTAAAAATCCTGGGATGTGTCTGTTCCCATTGCAAGTGGACCATACACCTACTACATACATCAGTTCCTATAGCATATATTATTTTATATATCATTTGATAAAATATTTAAAATTGGCAGATTTTATGAGTGTAACCCACACCAATCTCTTGCTCTCAAATACCTTTGCTTTAAAACTTTGTAATGTGCCCCATGATTTGTGAAAATCTGAAGAAATTTAGACTAGAGGCCCACAATGTGCCTGACATAGTATGTTGCACAGTATGTTGAATAAAATTAATTTTTAAATATATCTTCAATAGTATTGATCATTGGAAAATGGCTTAACCCCAAAAGATGAGACAGCGCCAAGACATTGAAGTCGTTGAGGGAGTAGGTCTGTTCCTTTAAATTCTGAGCACATATACATATTTAAATTCTATATACTCTGCATGTATATAGTACAAATTATTAAAATCAGCACTTTTGCATGTATTTTGCCATTTGGATATTAATGTGTTCTAACTTAAAATTTTGTGAAATTTATTTTTGTATTGATTTAAAATTGTTATTTTATGCTGTGTTTGGTATTTAGTTTATTCAATTTATTTTATCATTTATTTCTCATGGAAACATAGCTATTAATGGTACTAATGGATTTTCCTAAGAAGTCTGGTAGATTTAATAATTGATGACTGCCCATTTGTCTTAAAGCACTCACAATGAAATTGAGATTGCCGACGATGTATTTT